AGGTGGCCCACTCGGTGGTGAAACACGTTAGCTTATATTAGTATACTAAAAGACATTTTTAACGCTCTCTAAGGGTTTTTATTTAACTATTGCTTTCTATTACATTAACCTAGATAAAAGATTACTATAGCCGTTTGCAGCACTGCTAACTACCTTCTATTAGTATACGAGATCTAAAGTAAATTAAGTTTAGAGTTTATTATACTATATAACTTTGATTTTAAATCGTTTAAAGATACGATTCTTAAGCGCTATCTACTAGGTATCCTCGTTCTAATTCGTACTTCTTAATTTAACAGCCTTCTAACTTACACGCCTTGCCCGCACCTTATTTTTAAGCTTCGACAGCTTATTACTGTAACGGGCTGAACGCCCTTCGTCTCCTGTACTCGCCTACGACTTCGTTTACTCTACCTGCCCCGCCCGATAGTTACTCCAGCAACCAGCATTGTATATAGATAGCCACGTAGCCAAGAAGCTTAGCTCTCTATCGAATACAATCTCTTGTTACCTAGGCCTGTCCGATCGTGCTCCCGAGCTTAAGACTACTCCACGGAGTCGAGCCCCTTACAATTAGCAATATTAGGTTAAGGCTATACTATATATAACTCGTAACTAATACAGCCTAATTACTAAATATGCTAGTTAGAACTTTATCTAATATTATTTCAGAATATTTCCTAGACGCTCTAGGTAGTACTTTTGTAGGTAAAATTTAATACGGAACTCTTCAATAATTATATTATTAATAGCAGCTTTTTAGCCGTCCGTTAGATAGTCTAGAATAACGTCTATCAAACTTCCCTTCCTTTTCTTTGACACCAAATTTAACTACAAATTTGACGTTCTATCTCTTTTTCTCTTACTTCTATTACCAGTAACAGTTTTTTAGCCTTACGCCTTGCCCTTAGCCGTTAATTTTAGAGCCATCAGTGATAGAGAGGAAAGGGTAATAGATCTAGTGGTTTCGGCCTAAGTGTTCCGTGATGTAAATCTAATAAGTAGATTATGGAAACTTTGCTACTAATTAACAAGTCGCGACAAGATATGGCACAGCTGGCCTTATAAAAGATATAGCCAACATAGCCGGTCAGGGGGATGCATCCATATCACGCTTATTTAGGCAAAAGATCCTTCATGCAGGGGCGTGTTTTAATGCAAGGGCTCAGGACTCGCTGCTAACTACCTTCCGCCCCAGGACCTTTCAATCTTAACCCAATTGCAATTCTCCCACTCTAGCGCGGGCGCCACGGATGTTAGTTATCTAAGCATAGTCGTACATCTACGTGTCAATCACTCTACTTCCAACATATATCCTCCGTCTCTACTGCAGGTCCCGAGAACATACTACATTGACCAGCTAAGCTTCTTTGCTCTTAGGGCTGCACGTAAACAGAAAGTATCTGGCTATGTGTGTGATGAACGAGGTCGGGTTAGAGTAAGGATAACTGGCGAATAGTTGAATCCATATCACTGAGTTCAAAACTCAGCGAGCCGCGAGAACGTCACAATCGCAAGTGGTCTTGATCTCGTGTTCAAAATGCCCAGAAACCTCAATAGTTTATCGAAACCTTGGAAATCGTGTTTGTAGCGGAGTATCAATTGGGAATGGTGGTTCTGTGATTAGATGGTCGCTGTGGCTTGCAGAGCTTACTCATTCGACAAATACCAACTTCCCGCCATAAGTGACGTCAGTAGCGTACCATGGCATGCAAGGTTCTTTGAAAGTACGAATGAGGCCAACGGGATACCTATAGGGGCTATACGCTAGCTTTTCTCGCGTATTGAATTTGCTGAGTTCATGTGAATATCTTTACTTGCTGTGTAGTAGTATAGTATACCCCTGAGAGTTCAAGGCGATTGTATTATGTTGTTCTTGGTCTTCGTACAGCAAGCAGACATTTGGTACTTTGTAAATGGACATAGCATTAACAAGCGCAATCTATACACATAAGCCCCTCTATTTTCGATCAAAGTATGTAGTATCCCAGGGTAAACATTACCGAGGAAGTCTTGTGTGTAGATACAATGACCAAGATAGAATATGAAGATGCTACCCAAGTTGCCTGCTCAACCACCCTCGAGACATGTTGTAACGTTAACCTGGTCACACGACAAGAATGAACATGCCCTATTCGCCAGTGAAGCCGCTTGACGTATGTACCCAGGCGTTGTTTGGACATGCTCCACGGGATAGCCAAAGATAAACATGCGTCCACGCGGGGATCTCCAAAGGGGTTTTATTGGGGTCAGCCACTGCCATGTCGACATGCAGCCATGTTATGTCGTGCTTTCTAGCGGCATTGGCAGGGAAACATTATGTGCAGTCTAGCACGCGGGTGGCAGTTGCGATCTAATGAGACCGCTTCATGCAACGCGTAAAAGTGTCGAAAAAGACCAAGTCTGATGCACCTTTTTCGGAGTCTGTCGGCTGGTCGGGTTCAGCCCTGCTAGCGTGTAGCGGGGGGCACAGCCAACCCCACCACCATATTGCCATCTTGGCCGTTTGCAACCCACTTAGTGACATCAAGCTTGCTGGCCTTCAAATCATTGCACTGTATGGGTTTGTACACTAACCTATTTTCATTTCTCTTACGCCTGCGTCTAGATCAGGGCAGCCGCTTTGCTTGCATTTCCTTGCGCCACCGCTGGCTGACCCGCGGTTGACTGGCCGCAGCTTGGCCAACGCCGCCTGGAATTGCTGGGCCCACTAGTATCTGTTAATCCGTGTCGCCGGTAGGGATTTTGTGTTCAACAGCAATTGTGGACTTCGGCAGCCGTACCATCAGCGATCGGCAGTTTCCTGTTGTCTGGGTCAGCCGTATAAGAGTCTGCTAGTGCCCCTCTTGTTTTTCTTTTCTCAAGGGAAGGCTTAGTGTGCACTGTTGTCTAGATTGGAAACCATCCGGACTTCTCTCTTGACTACCATCCCCCCACTAAGTGCTCTACCACGCACATATCTCGTCTTTTGTAGGATACTTGGAATACAGATTCTGCAGCACGTTCGACGGTCGCCCATCATGACGAGCAAACCAATCTTTGTAGCGACCCATCCACGAGCATGCTCAACAGCCTTTGAGCGGGTACGCACCACGACGTTGTTCCCTCTCCTCACAAAATAAGGTTCTCACGGTCATCTAGGTCTTCATGACACGTCACGAAACACTCCAATGTGTTCACGAGCCGTTTGGCGACGCTTACTACTTCGGCCCTGAACGTCTTGCTGAGCGCTACGAGAATGACCCAAAAGCCAGGAAAGAGAGTGGTTATGAGGAGAGCACCTACAGGAACATTTTCGACCGCATCGCGAGAGAGAATGAAGAGGTTCGTTTGCTAATATTTCTTTGTCCCACCGGTGTCATCACCTTTCTTTCCATAACATTCCATCCCTAGGGTACTTCTAGCATCATTTCCAATGTCTCATCTACACGACCCGTCTCATATTTCTTTCTCATGCAATCTTTTCTCATATTTCCGTTTTTCGTTATCTGTTTTGTTTGAGGGTTTTTTTTTCCAAATTTTCAGTTCTATCCTCTTGCCCAATCATTGCATTATCATCACGCCTAGGCTACACAAACCCCAGAACACTCGCCTATGTCTGCATGAATTGGAGGATGAATCCCAATTTTTCTCATACTATCATCAAAACCATCATCATTATGAAACAAGAATTCTCACAGCTGTTCTCGCGTCCTTCTTCCCAGTTTATTATCGTTACTTACATACTAGCAAAATATCCACTTCTCATACCGTCAATAAATCTCACACTCATCGATGCCTAGGGAAAACGCGTGTTCATAAAAGACATGGCGCAATACTGGATTCCACCATCGGGCAAACCGGCGACCATTGCACCATCTCTCTCCAACTACCGCCGCGGCGTAGGAACAAACACGACAGAGCTCTCGCCAGTTCCTACACGCTCTGACCCCGACAAACCACCGTACCCATACGACACCAAAGGCGAGCCTGGAAACCCAACCGTGATCCCCAAAGACCTGCTCGCTACATACCACTTTACCTTTTTGATCCGCCACCCCAAATACAGCATCCCATCGTACTACCGATGCACAATTCCCCCACTCGATGCCATGACCGGCTTCTACAACTTCCGGCCCGATGAAGCAGGCTACGAAGAGCTCCGCCGCCTCTTCGATTTCCTACGGGCAGAAGGCCAAATCGGGCCAAAGTTTGCTGGCCAAACCGACGAAGCGCACAAAGAGCAGGCTAACGGGCACACTGGCGGCGTGGAAATCTGCGTCATCGATGCCGACGATTTGCTGGACAAGCCGAGTGAAATGGTCGAGGCGTTTTGCAAGACGACGGGTATCGAGTGGGATCCTGGTATGCTGCAGTGGGACTCGGAAAAGGACCAGAGCATTGCTAAGGAGGCGTTTGAGAAGTGGAAGGGGTTTCATGAGGATGCGTTGGATAGTGATCGCTTGAGAGCGAGGACGCATGTAAGTCTCATTCCACCATATTTGCTGTGGATGGATTTCGTTTGATGGGGTTGGTGGCTAACGATGAGTAGAAGAAACAGCCCAAGTCAGATGAGCAAATGTTTGAAGAGTGGAAGGAGAAATTTGGCGAGGAGGGCGCAAAAACAATTCGGGATACGGTTGCGGCGAACGTGGAGCATTATGAGTATTTGAAGCAGTTTGCTATCAAGATCTAGGAAGATGGAGATGAGTAGAGTTCCATACTAGAACATGACTTTTGAGTTTCTTTCCTTTGCTTCTAAAGCTAAGATGGGATACAAAAAACAAAATAGAGAGGGAGGGATAAAAATACATTATGCACCCAGCTGAAGGTGCAAACAAATCCCGCATGGTTCGCCAAAAGAAGAAGATAGCCCACCAAATGCATGTAATCGTACCCTATAGGAACAAAAAAAAAGACAAAAGAACATCCTCTAACACCATTTCCCAAGACACCTGCGCTGGCCCAAACAAATCAAAAAATTCAAGATGGCAAGAAAAGAATCAAGAAGAGGAAGCATTTCAGATATGAAGATCGCCCATCTCAATCTGCCGTCTCCTCTCCTCGCGACTCAAATTCCTCGAATGGCTACTTTGTCCACCCGCACTCTCCGCCCGATGCGCACTTCTCCCTCTCTCCTGCAACTGCATCCACGCCTGCTGTTCGCCAAGGCTATCCGGCCTGCTATGCCCCCTGCCCCGCTGCCACTCCGAGTGCGCTTGCACAGGGGTACCCACGAGTTCCTGACTATGCAATTCGCGGTCGTGCTGGTCCGGGTCTTCGGGGAGATCAATGTGGAACGTGCTGTTTGCGTCGGGACTAGGTCTTGAGTCTGATTTGTGGAGGAGAAGCGCCATTTGCTGGTTTACGCGGTCGTCTTCGGTGTAGATGACGGGGGGAGGGTGATCGGCTGGGCGCATGGCGGTGGGGTACATATTTGTGACGAAGTTGTTGTAGTAGGATTGTTCGGACCAGAGGTTGGTGCGGGCGTCGGGGTGTTGGCGCGGTGGGGGCTTGTTTGCGGCCCGGAAGGTGATGATGCAGAGGACAGTGTAGGTGAGTGTTGCGACGGCGCTTAGGACGGTGCCGGTGGTGGCTGAGAGGCCCCAGTGGTAGGCACTAGAGGATAGGAAGTTGTAGGCGATGGAGATGAGGCCGAAGGCTGACGAGGCGAGTGCAGGTCTATGTTGGATATGTTAGCTTTGCGCTTGCCCGTGGTGGGGTGTTTGGGGGTGTTCGCACAGGAAGACGTGTTCGGCTTGAAAGTGTTTGTCGCGACAGGCGAAGCAGAGCAGCGCGGTGAATGAGTAACCGGCTGTCAGCAATGCGACAACGAATACAGAGAGGACGGCTTGAGTGAAGCGCAGCTGTGCGTCTTTTGCGTAGAGCCCAGGCAGTATGAGGTACCTGCGACCATGGTTTAGTTTACGGTGGTTCCGTGTAGGTAAGATTGTGGTACACTACACACCCTCCAAGAATCATCCACGATGCTGCTATGGCGATCAGGCGCCAGTACCACGGGGGTCTCTCTTTCTCCTTGCGGCCATGGTCGTGAATGCTCACATACGCGTCGTTGGCAGAGCGCATTGGATCGGTGGACGAGGGCGTGGCTGGTGGTCCGGGTCACGATTCAGGCGGTTGCTGGCGTCTTACCAGCGGGCGACGGGGAAGCAGATGCTCATACGCGACGGGATGGGACGGATAAACGAGTGAATGAGGTGAGGCAGATGCCTTTAACCAACGTCCCTGTCGCCGTCGTCGCCCTCAAGCTGGGATGCCTGCGCCTGGCCTTCTCGTCTTGAATTCAGCCTGGCGACGTCGTGCACGTCACTTCGGTCCGTTGAGTTGCAGATGCAGCCGAGGCGCACGGCGCAATGGTTTCCAGCAGGTGGTGGGGGTCACCAACACCACTAGCAGCGCGCGACGGAACAGAGTGAGAGCGGAGAGAGAAAGAGGTACGGTTTAGGCTTTGCGAATACCGTTGCAAGCTGGGAGAATGGGAGAATGGAAGAATGACCAAAGACGCGGGCTGAATGCTTAGTCGAGGAACGTGGAATGGAGCCAACGTGCCGGTACGCTGCTGAGGCCGCCGACGACGCCTGCATACACGCTCAGCCACTGGCTGTCATCATCGCCCCGTCCACGCACCATGTCGACACTCTCCTCCCCCATATGCCGCGTTGCGGAGAGGCGCCCACCATCTCTTTGTTCCTCCTTTTGTGTGCTAGGCTACCCAGGGCACTCCCATGTTCCACATCGCCTCACAGCCAATGCCAGCCTCGTATTTTCCCCTCGCCCTGCCACTACCCAACCTGTCGACTGCGCCGCAGCCCCATCGGCCATGCGGCTTATTATTCTTACTCGACTCGTCCGTTGCACTGCTGACGCCTTGGTGTCTTCGTCTTCGTTCCAGTCTTTCAATAGACGCTACTATTAGTGCCAGCGAGATATGACGTCTGATCTTCGTGCTCAGCCCATCAATTCCGTCATGTTGCCTCGCGCCCCAGCGTTACATATCTACAAACGTTGGTGTCACGTGAAGACGCCCTCAGCCCTTGCACTGCCTTGCCCTTCGGATACAGCCCCTTCCGATATGTCTAGTTCATCTGCCAAGTATATGCTCTATACCCGTGTAGGCACATCTATGCGCACTCTCCAAAATTGTATTCTTGGCTTGTGGTCTCTAAGTTGTAGTCATCAAGTATGCGTGGTCCAAGCTGGTACACGAACCGGTCCCACATGCGGGTAGAAACCGGCATCCAAGGTGACTGTGCTGGGTTGCTCTTCCCACACACGGCAAGAACGTGTTCATAACACAATATAAATTCCATAATTTGATCATACAGCATCCAACAAGCGACTTTCCCAGTCATCTTCCTTCTTCAGTAGTATAGTGGTCAGTATTTCCGCTTGTCATGTGACAAATCGCGGGAGACCGGGGTTCAATTCCCCGCTGGAGAGCTTCTGTAATTTTTAATTTTTTTTCTTTTTGTTGCTGCTGTTTAAACCAAGAGGGCGCACGTTTGATCAAGTGCTGACTGAGAGCTTGTATCTTTTGGCATTTTATTATCTTCTTTCACTTTACCAATAGACTATGGTAAAGTTCTATTTTTTTTCGAAAAAAACCTTCTTAAAGTTCCATTGCTTGCATTCATAAAGAACTGTATCTACCTGCGCTACGAATTGCTTGTCCTTAAGAAGCTGATGTTCAGCTCCTGTTCAGCTTTCGCCGCCACCAGAGCAGATGGCTGATACCTAAGGCTTGGCTGCAGTATTCAATCTTCAGCTCATTGCCTCCTCTTCAATCTAGTACCTTTCTCACTCCGTCAGTAATCTTGGAAACTGGCCATCGATCACATACTTCTAACTCATACCCTCTTTACGAAGAAGACTAGGATTTCTTCGCGTCATGAGCTACCAGGCTGCGGCAGATTTCGAGATGTCCGACATACCGTTTGTCACAACTCCATCCCATGTCAAGCGCTACTGCTAACGACTACAGACAGCGAAGCTTATACGTCGAGTTATTAGATAGTGATGATGCGTCTAACGCAAAAGGCGCTCCACAGCGAACATGGGCTTATCTCCGCGACAGCCTACGTCCACTTCGACTGCAATTGATCAATCTCGTACTCGACCGCTTCATTGGTTGGAAATCTGATACTGAACACCGGAAAGTCGCAATGTACTGCAAAAGACGTGTGGCAGCTTCACACGTTCTACTCCAACTTTTGCCTCTAGGCGGGGCAATAGCACTTTTGATCCTCCAATGGACAAACTATTGGATAGGAACCCAAACTAACGTTTCTACATTCCTACAATTTGCAGCCAAGTTTCACGAATTGACAATGCAGGCCTCGCTTGTCGAAATTTTGCTCTGTGTCATTCGTACTGAGGTGGTCAACGGATACATCCCGTTAGGCGCGCTTTCTAGTGTCACACAGGCAACCCAGTTGTCGTACCTCTGGTCTCTTGACTTTATCTCGACATTTAAATCTCCAGCTCATAAGGGATGGCGGAGAATAGTATTTCCTCTTGTTATCTTAACTGTTTTACCTCTAACATCGCTTGTTGGACCTTCGAGTGCTATTCTTATGATACCCCGTCCAGATACCCCACACATCATCCGAGAAGACAATCGCTACCTGCCTAATTCGACTAATGATGTCTATCCTTCCTCCTTGAGCCGAACCAATGGTTTGCCGATGTGAGTACCGAGTCCTTTTCGCACAGCCGAGACTGAGAGGTTGTCTAGAGACCTTGTGGGCCTCAACGCAACTCTACTGAGCTCCAGAATGCAAAACAAAGACAGGCAAAACGAACTAAATGACATGATCGCGGCCGATCAGAGCGGCCTTTCGTATCTGCCGAGATCCATACGTGTATCCAGTTTCCAGAACATGGAATTTATCGAATACAATACGACGTTACCGACTTCCTTCAGTTCTGTATTATTTGAGGATGTGTTTGATCATTCCCAAAATCATTCAGATGATCCTAGCAGCTCCTTTTACAGAGGTGTAGGAAATCAAACCATAAGCCTCAGGACATTACATCCAGTGGTATCGACACGATGCACACTCCATCGTATGGACGAATTGGATAATCTAATTTATGTGTTCGAAAACAGAACCATGGGTATTCCCATTACTATCCAAACACTTTTGGATCGAGTCTCCAACTTCACTGGCTCTAGCAACGCAACAATTCGAGTCCCCGCACAGGACCCTACTACAGACTTCAAGCAAGTGTTTTACCCTCCGATCTGGATGTCGTCACCAGAAAGTAGTTCAAACTCACTGATTGGCGTTTTTTTCAACTGGCAGTCGATTAATCTGTCAGACGAGTTGCCACATTCGCTCCCATGGATCTTGGCACAACCCAAGTCTTACGGGTCCCATTTATCCGTCCAAGCTTGTACGATATCGGCTTATTGGAACACCGGAGAGTTGCAGATGATTCAAAAATCGGGCGGGGCTGTTGTACAGACTGCGGAGTTACCCATGTCAGAGCCACATAACGCAAGGCCCATAACCTTGGATCTAACCGGCATCGACAAGATTCAAAGCCCTGAATTCCTTCGCGACCTGTGGTCTACTGGCTCAATCAAGTATAACCTTGGGATTATTTTTGCCCTCGCGATCGCCGAAATACCTAACAACGATTTCCAACCATCGTCTGAAATGCCACCTGATTTCAATGAACACAACATGACTGTTTTCAAGTGCACTACCTTTATTTACGGCTACGGATACGGCAGCAGATCGACTTCTATCCGACTTGCGATACTAGTCATGATCACATACTGCGCGATCGCTACCGCCTACATTGGATACATTCTAGTCACCGGATCTACATCGACAGCATGGAACTCCACCATAGAACTAGTTGCTCTTGCACTGCATTCAAAGAAACCAGATTACCTTGGACATATTTCTGTAGGACTCGACTCGATTAAGACGATGAAAGAAGGTGTTGGAATCCGTGTTAATCAGGACAACGAGCTTGAACTGGTCTTCGCGCACGACCGCGACATTGAAAAGCGGTATCTAAAGAAAATTCAGAGCAACAAAGAGTACTAGGGACCAACTGGTATCAGTTAGCTTTCAGTATCGCGGTTCATAGCGATTTCACATTTGGCTCGGTAGAAGCACTATAGATATCTCAGACACAGAAGTAAAGAATAAATTTTTGGAGCGGCAAAATTATGTACAGAGAGTGTGAGAGCACCGAGTTCACTAAAATTATGAGCGGGCACATGCACTATTACTATTCAAGGCCTACTTAGGATAACAGCTAATATTAATCTGAACTAGATCCAAGTTAGATATATACCGCTGATATAATAGCTAACTCCCTTCTACTTGCATTTAGTAGATTTTGAATCTCCTCTGGTACTAGGCCTATAAATTTCTATCGAATTAAGGTGTTTCTACTGGCCTACGCACTTCCATATGCCTTTGAGTGACACTTCCCACCAGAGATGTCAACAATCAAGCCAAGCCATGCCAAGCTCCAGCTTGGCTTGCCTCAGCTTGATAGGCAAAAGCAAAACCGCCAGCTTGGCTTGGTGTATCAAGCCAGCTTGATTGATGTGCTTGATGATCTTGATAGTCATAGCATCTTTTTCAAAGTCATCAGAATAGGTGATATCAGCTATATAGCGACTATTTTTGGTGTTAAGTTTCGCTATCACTGTTAGTATCGCTTTCCCACTTGCTCAGCTTATATAACCCCTCTATACTGTTATTAATTATAGTGACTTTTGAGCTAATATTATCGTTGCCTAGAACAGCTTTGCGCCACTGTCATACGCACTGTATCGCCGCCAAAAGCTGCGGTTGTATACCTCGTCGGTGAGGCTCTAGTAGAGCCCCAAGCTCACTCAACATGCGCTCACACTCGCAGCTTGACGCTGGTATCGAGAGCACGTCTAGCGCAAGCCTGCTAAGACGTGGGTAACGATCTCGCATGAGTAGCTAGTATCTTGTAGGGTTATTGGCGTATTCAGTGTCTCTCTCTACACATTACACGAGTCATAGTCCCTCCCCCAGAGCAGCGTTTGGGTAATAGGATTAATCGTATGGGGGCTACAGCGGAGGTGGCGATGAGAGGCGTTAGAGTACACCGTCCGCGCGATTGCGTCTATCGCAGCGTCATTATTTCTCGCGTTATCGAGTACAAAGTAGCTAATACGGTCTAAGTCGACATTGAACTGTGTTAGCGTTTCTATAACAATCTCTGCTATACTTTCACTAGTATAAGCGCCTGTCAACTGCGGCAGCGCGATAGGTACGTTTACAATGTTGCCTTGACGATTAACATAGTGTGCGACAATGCCTAAAAGGCCGCGCTTACCGCCCTTTGTTGTCCAGCCGTCAAAGCCAATATGTATCTTGCTCCGTACCCGTGATAGCGCTCAAATAACCTGCGGCTTAAGATAGTCATATAGGCGTAAGATATAACTAGAGATGCTATAATAGGAAGCCTATAGAGCATCTTCCGCTTGTAGATTAGCTGACGCGATAAGGTCTCGAAAAACTAGCGACTCGAAAGTAGAAAGTGGCTTGTTAGTTTTAATAATCTAGGCAAATGCTGCAAGCCTAAAGCGCTAAATATTAAAACTAGAGAGCTTATTCGTGACTGCTTGGCTAACTCGATTGCTAGTAAGCATAGCCTAGATAGTGTTAAGTACTTCCGCATCAATTTTCTCGAGTGTCTTGTAGCCATGGCTAGGCTTATGTTACGAGATGTCCTGAGACATACGCACGTCTCCAGACTAGACTGGCAAATGGGTTGAGGTAGGGTAGGAGTAGGGTTGCCAAGAGTTGGGTAGGGGTAGGGGCAGGGTTACTGAAAACTGCCAAGACTAGAGTTGGGGTAGGGTACGGGGTTGCTAAAGCTAGGTAGGAGCAGAGTTGGGTTGACTGTGGCTTGGGTAGAGGTAGGGGTGGGTTACTTAGTGCTAGGTTAAGCTGGGTCTTAGTCATATACTACAATAGTTAACGTGCGCCACCAGTAAGCTGAACGCCCCACCCAAACTGACGCGACTCTCTCTATAACACTACCATGCCACGACAATAACGCTCTATACATACTTCTCGTGAAGTCAGAATAAGTCTTGCTATCGCATGTTATTATAGTAATTCAAGCCAGTCTATCCATACTCTTATAAAAGCGTATAATGTGCTAAAATCAACACTATACACGCGTCTCTATGGTATCTAGCCACGATTAGAAACAGTCTCTATTAATTGAAAGCTATCGTCTATTATAGAGCAGTCTCTCGTGTAGTAGATTCTAGCCCTTAATTAATGCGGATTTCCACCCTATATCATCGACGTATGACAAATAGCAGACGCTCTACTCGCCGCGCGTGGCCAAGATCTATCTCTACTACCTACTAGTAAGTACTAGGTATCGCGATTCATCTAGAGCCAGCCTAAGCTTTAGATAAAGTGGACTAGAGGATTATATAGTTAGCGCGCCTCCTGCGAGGATCCTATTATAATTACCGCCTAGTTTAAGCTGGTAGAGGAGACGCGTCAGACGTACGGCGTTCTTAACCAGGATATCTACAACTTTAACGAAACTAGATTCGCGATAGGCGTAGCTACATAGCACTTCTAAAGTCGTTACAAGCTCTAATAGAGTAGGTAGAGCAGTCATCGTCCAGCCAGGCAATCGCGAGTGGGTAACAGCTATCGAGTGTGTTAACGCGTCTGGCTAGTCTCTTCCACCGCTTATAGTTCTCTCTAGCAAAGTTCACCAGGCTAGCTAGTATAACAGACTCCTACTTAACTAGACTATTAGCGTCTTAGAAAATGGCTAGACGATAGGTGAGCTTAGTGTAGAGTAGATAAAGCACTTTAATCAGCATATAGCTGCTTATATAGCTAGAGTCTATCAGCTTCTTATCCTAGACAGCTATAGCAGCTACGTCACTCTAGAGCTCGATTAGTACTGCGCTAAGAAGAAGATTATTACTCTCTATATGCCACCCTATACCTCGCATCTCCTATAGCTACTTAATATAAGCTACTTCTCTCCACTTAAGCGCGCGTATAGACGTAAGATTAAAGAGCTCGCCTATTAAGGCGTCTACTATATTAATAAGATAGACTTTCTTACAGTCTATACGCAGATCTAGTAGACAATTTTTACGCAGTAGAATATCTAGGCAGGCTTTTAAGCAATAGGCCTTGTTTCTCTCTATCTATATCGTGTTCTATTATCGCTGACAGTCGTCTAGACGCCATTTCTACTATAGACGACTATAGACAGAGACGCTATAACGTAGGCAGAAACGCTGTATACAGTAGAGCAGCTTCGGCAGCAGGTGCTCTATCCCTAAGAGCGACTATAACAGCAACGCCGGCAGTCAGATAGCCTAATAAGCGTTGCTATACGCCAGCCTGTAAAAAGCGCTTAGCTTACAATATAATTAGCAATAATACTTACAGAAGAAAATAAGAAGCTATGTCTAGTTAACTAGCGTTAACAACGAAAGTAGGATTAGCAGCGTTAATATATTGCTTCTAGTATAGTACTCTACATACAGTAGGGCTGGGCCCGCGGCTACGCGCCGAAACGTTTTCGCAATCTCTATATGATTGCTAGTTACTGTCTGCAGCACGGATTCATCAGTAAGAATATTGGGACCATAGGTGCGACCTATATTGGTGGCTACGGCGCTGTAGAAGGATTTTGCTAGCAAGTCACATGCATTGAGTATTGCGTAAAGAGGGTAAGAGGGAGAGGGGTCCAAGAGGACTTCTGTGCCGACCCAGAATATGACACCGCTAGCTTGCAGGGTGTAGTATGTAATGTTGAAGAAACTGGGAGAGAGAATTGAGGATTTGTCTGGATAGGGGCGGAAGTCTGAGGTGTATGGGTTAGACTGGCAAAGAGATTTTGTCGGGGCAGCAAAGGGTACAGACCCATGCTTCCGCTTTGCCATCTACCGTCTTCTTTTATCGCGCTTTCCGCTGCTTTTATCTTAAAGGACGTATCGAGCCATCCGTAGGACATCAGTGACTCGGCCCACCACATGGCGGGGTCTTTGGTGTTGTTGCTAGTAACGAATTGATTCAGCTTTGTTGTGCGGAAAATCCCCATTGGTCCTGGTCTCCACCCGTTAGGTCATACCGCTTGTTCGCGTTTGGAAGAATAAGATTGTAATCAGTAGTGAAATCGAATTGCGTATGTCCCTGCTCGTTCGTGATGAAGCAGGATATTGCTGCCAGCAGCGGCTGTCCCCATCTGGACCAAGCTACTTGCTGTGCGGTTCGTCCCATCTCCTTGGCCATTTCGATCTTGATGTAATTGATCGTACAATTTTTGAGAGTATTGTTCAAGTAGCGCATAGATGGCGAAGGGACGAGGAGGCCATCCTAATCCGTAGTCGTGATGCTATCTATGGAGTATATGAAGCCGTTCTTTCTAGTATTGAACTTTTGTTGTGCTCTGATTTCCTTGGGCTCGCAGCCGGGTGACAATTTGCGTATGCCCTTAAAAAATGGTTTGTCGTAACACATCTTCTTTGCTATGGTCGCGTTTGGATTAGTGGAATATGTTATCTACAGATCGTAGCCTGTGATAATGGTGTTGATAGATGATAGAAATATTGTTGCAAGTAAAAGCAAAACGATGATTATGGCGGCGAAGAATTGAAAGGGGTATCGCTAAGTAATATTGTGGTTAAAAGTGAACATAGCTGAAGCTTGAAAGGTACTGTATAGATGGTAGGGCTTATAAGAGAGGCTAGCATTATAAATAAGGAGCTTAAAATCTGTAGCTTATAAATAGGTCGTACAGCTCTATAAAGCTAAGACTTTACCTAGGCCAGAATCTATACATGCTCAGCTACTGCTGTAGTTTACTGGTCCTTCTAGACTTATACGTTGTGATAGCTGTACGCTACTAATAAAAGTTTAACCCGCTTAACGATAAGGCATACCCTATTAAATAAATAGGAGACTTTAGACGATTGCGGACTAAGAGAACTCTATAGCTGGAAAGTAATAGTAATTGACTAATATTCCTCTATATATGGCGAAAAGCACTGCTCGGTGAAGGATAGTATGTACTCCTAGCTATAATAAAGCCAGTGTTATCTAGGAAACATTTATAACTACGCTTAGAATAAAGTCTCTTTATCTTAACCTCTACCTAGACTACTTGATTTCTCTTAAAGACCTTTGATCCGCCAAAAATACTAAAAAGCTACAATCTACCAGTGAACGCATCTCAGAAAGGGCGAGGATGGCTTATCGGCCGCTGTCATGGCACAGATAGACTGGCGCAGCGTCAACTTACACCGTGCTCGACTCGCCTCGTAGCATGCTCTTGGAGGCCTTGTGGCGCTATCTCGTGCGCTTTGGCCGCTTTGTCGAGCTAGACAAGGTATCAGATAAGCAGATGTATCACGCGCATAGTATACATCCTTTCTGCTATAGCGCGAAATTTCGCCCTATACTGCAGGTGGCACTGCAGGACTGCATACAGGTAGGTAGTTAATCAATTAAAAAAATATGCGTATTAGGCCAGTCTGACAACTATAAGCTATCAAGGGTGTATAAAGTATTATGTATTGTGCTAACTACATATAACTATATAATGATAAGAGCAAGTTTAAATACAGCTTTGTTAGTCAGTGGCCAACCACGTAACTACACATGGAACTTCTAGGCTTACACCTTCTAATGTGGACGTTCATAGGCTCTTAGCCTTCACATCCCTCGTTAAGGAGAGAATCCTTCTTGTTACTTGTAACAGCTAGAGAGTGTGTGCGGTGTTCGAGCCACGATACGTTTCAATGCACGCAGAGTGTGTCCTCGCCTACTCGAGTCCACACTTGACCTAGATCGATCGCTATGCACCAAGCGTGCTGCCTGATGACCAGTTGGCTGCGATACAAGATTCTAATGCAAAGCTTCAATCTTTGCCTTTTTTACATAACAAGCACGTTTGACAATTGGGGCAGACATACGGTCCACCGTTCGCCAGGTCTCCGAGCCCATATATTTTTCAAGCTCTGTATCGCTGTAGGAATATTGCGAAATCGCGTACGTGCATACACCTGTTCCATGCGATGTACGAAGAAGTCTCTTTGGCTCTGATCTGTCGAAGCTGCTCCAGCAACAAAGCACACCCAGACCAGTGCATGTGCGCCACGATCATTTGGTGAGACTTGCGATATGAGGCCGATAAGTTGGTGAATAGACTCTTCCTGGATAGTGTCGTGAAATCTTGAGACTGCATGGGCATCGACTGCACATCTGGTGTATATATTGCATGCAGAGACAAAGCACTGTAATATCAGGTCTGCAATGCGCCGGTCTTCGCTGTCTTCGGGGAGATGAGAAAAGGACAAGAAGCTCATCAGAGACTCTGAGGCTTTCATCATGGTGAGCACGCCGACCTCTTCGCCGAGCAGTGGCACGCCGAGCAGCTCGAACCTGATGCTCGTTAGTATGGCTGTGCAAGTATCCTCCAACATTACCTACATATTGGTTTGTGCTTGTAAGAAATTTGAGATGATGGGATCAGCATCTCTGCCTGGGTTACTCATGGACAAGCTGAGCAACATCTGAACGAAGAAGCGATAGTCAGCACTTCCAGTCACTGTCTCGCCCACAAGAAGCACAACCAAAGTTGCCCAGGTGAACTTGTTAAACACCTTATCGGCAGACTGCTGCAAGGAATCGTTGCGTAAGCGTGAAATAACAGCAGCGCGTCCAGCCTCAGCTGCTCCTTGAAGTTCGGGCCGCTGATGACTAAGATGTTGTGCAGCCACAACACCCACTGCCTGGCGCAGCAGATCGTCTTCGAGCGCCATTGGTAGGACTAATGATCTGTAACCATTTTTGTTGTCGTCGAACACCACCATAGCTGGGGCAACGACATGAGAGACTGTAAGATTGTGAGTAAATGGTCAAACTATGGCCGATTCTAGATTGCAACTTACAGTATGAGAAGAGCATCCGCAACTTTGGGTCAATTGGCGCAACCCAAGGCACAATTTCGTATGATTCGGAGTAACGAACCACAATCGAATTGTAGCCTCGACCGATGTCTTCCATATCAGCCTCGGAATCTGCATTTGTGTTTATAGGGGCCGACAACAGAAATGCTTCCCTACCATCATGCATTCCTGTCGAATTGATTGTGTGAGGTGTCGGTGGTCCTTGCGCAGTCTCGTTCAGATCACTCTTCCTCTTCTTCCTAGCGCGTTCCTCACCCGGCCAGCGCAATAATTGAAACTCGATAGTGTTCGGTAGCTCCTTGCAGCTATCATCGCCTCCAGTCTTCGGGATTTTGCAATCCTTAAGACGTCCTCTTCTGGCTACTCCTTCAGCGAATCGAATCCTGCCCATCCCAGAGCATTCGATGCCCTTCTTCGCGCATTTGCGACATGATGGTTCGGTCTTGTCACAGACAATCCTGCGGCACGAGCATTGGAAGCAGCCCCGCTCTTTCTTCACATTACCATCTGGAGGCATGCTGATGCCCGTGCTCCGAATCTGACGAGCCTGATGAAACTTGGAGGACCACGATCAAGGGGACCAAGTTGCATGCAACTGGCGTTCACAACGACGCAGGCCCGGGCTATCTCAACTGTTACAATAGTCAAGTAGAACCTCGATCTTGGTATCCATGAAGGTGCGACAAGATCTGCAGAGGAGTATTGCAATGCGTACTATACGATCGTGCTCTATCGCGGAGTAGAAGCAACGCGGTTGGTGTGCTACTTGCGTTCGGGCCGAATTCGGAAAGAACATTTGCTTGGCGTCTGGTCCTTTCCCACTAGTACGTATCAGGTGAACTAACGAAGTTCTCGCAACATAGCGTAGATATGCAACACAAGACGGCATGCTGACAATCTCAATTACAGCGACAAGCTCCCTCTTTCAAGCATGTATCACGAAGCGATTCACATGGACGGAAAAACACAAAATGTGGTGACCTCACAGCCAGAGTCGATCAAATTGAACGCTCACATACACTACATAGACGAAAACGTCTATCTACTCCGTCAGGACTTGCAAGCGCGGGCCATGGAAGTGCTTGCGCGCATGTCCGAACCAATTTGCCGCTGTGAAGATAGCCATCACGCCGATGACTGCCGACGCGTAATCTGGGAGGAGTCAGTCACAACAATACCAGATCAGTATTGGGGGACCACTTACTCATGCTCGTACCAGTCACAGGTATGACTGTTGGGAAGTTGTAGAAGACCAAAACCAGGATTGCGAAGCCCACTGTAATCAAGTTCGCCGCCCAGCCCAAGACCGCTGGCACCTTGAAAGAGCGTGTACTCGGCAGCCACTTTGGTGAGCGCTTGCGCATCATGAGCAACACTACCGGGAACGCATATGTCACGTGCTGCAAGATCAAACCAGTTCCAATGAAGGCATTGAAAGCAGATGTCGATCCCAAGTAGATGCAGCCAATGATGAACATGATCGCGAAGTTGAAGATTAAGGCAGCGATGGGTACCTGCTGCTTCTCGTTGATCTTACCGAGCCAGCGGCTGCCGAAGATAGCGTCGTCTCGTGCAAAAGACCAAGTCAGCCGAGACGCTGTTTGGTGGGTTGCATTGAGAGCAAAGAAGGCTGCGAGCAGGAGAAGAAGCAGGAAAACGGTCGCAGCAACATCTGACCGAGTTGCCTGACGCCAAATTTCATAAACGGGTACACTAAGCGGACATCTCAGCATGGAAGGGGATAGCCACCGAAGGGGGAGACATACCCAGTCGCCGTCGTGACCACAGCTTCTAGATCGCTGGTGCAATACATCATGATGATGGCGAAGATGAAGGATGTGACGAAGCCGATGGATACCGTGCTCATTAACGCTCTAGGCACGACCACTCCTGGGTTCTTGCACTCCTCTGCCAGATGTACCGCACCATCAATACCGGCATACATATAGTTTGGCGAAACGAGACCAGTGAGAAAGGCGACGCCGTTGGACCAGCCACTCTCGTTAAGGAAAGTCGCCCACACAGACTTGGTGGGCTGAAAATGCGGTGCAGTCCGCGCGAGGCAAGTGATAATGATTACAAAGAAACTACTGATTGACACGAAGACTATACATTCATTCCGTTAGTAAGAGCGCCACGGTAGCCGTAAAATTTTGGTCCTTGACTTACAAGCGAGGTCATGAATCCACATAGTGCGACGAAGTAGGTAGACGTTGTACATGAGAACCAGCACATTGATGGCTTGGTATACGAGGAAAGCGTGCCACGCCTGCAGAACATACGATGGGTTCCAGAAGATCGCCATACCGAGGCACAATTGGGGAACGATGATGGCAATCCCTGCACAGATCGCTATCCAGGAGAACACGTTCGTGGCTCCGCAGTAGTAGCTCTAATGTTCATCAGTGCTCTTGTCACTCAGGTCATGCTGTGCAAGTCAACATACCAGCCCACGACTCCATCTTTCAGGAGCCAGAATGGACACCCAGTGATATTGACCGCCAGCCTACCATGTCAGTGTACTCAATTCATCCATGGTGTACTCAGACTTACAGTAGGGTACACGCTCGCCAGCTCCGCCAGTGAGATAGCGCACGCACCAACCAGAACACACATGATGATGGGGCCATAGATCAACGTCACTGGGCCGCCTTGTGCAATGGCCAAGGCAAAGGTGGCAGCAATGCCCGCCCAGCTGTTGCATATGATCCAGCCTGCGGAGATTGTCTCTTTGCCGCTCATGTTCCTTGCATCCGCGTTCTGGAGCACAAGACCTTCAAGGCGCACATCTTGAATCTGTCCTTGATGCTGAGATGGCACTGCGCTTACCGTCAGTTGAGCGTTTGCGGCAGTAGACGTTTCCGTCACTCACATTTCTCGAGATCCGTGGAAACTTTTGAGTCGTACTGCGTCTTCGTGTCGGCGAAGTCCATGTCGGTGGGGCGAATAGGATAGTTAGCTGCTCTGCTACGAAAGAGACTTGTGGCAAAAGGATTAAGTACTGATTGGGCGCTTGCCTTATCATAGTCCTTTTCTTTTCAAGAGATAGGATATGTATCAGGGACGAAGCATCGCCTATCGCGTATCGTTGCTATCGACATCCCTATCAATCTATCTGGACCGCGAGCCACAAGATAGATGGCCGTCATTAGGGTTCTCCCTTTATTGCCCTAAACGGGCAAGCCCGCACTGCCCACGGCAGTGGGACGCTACTCGAACGCGGGGCTGGTGCTACTAGGGCTGATCACATGCTGTCAGGCACTTAGTGCATACGCGGCAAGATACCTTCGGCGCCGATAGTATGGAACGCGGTCTGGCCTTCGGCATCAACGCCACAACTTCTATTGGAGCGGATTGAGCCTACGTTTTGACACGATGGTTGAGGATTGACACTGTTTGGGTACATGCCGACGGTTTTGAGTTTATGTCTCGAGGACGGGCTATTGATTCTACATAGTTTACAACGTAGGCTTTACCGGCTCGAGCTCGGCCAGCTCCTTCCTGACCTCGAAAGCTGCTCGTGTCCCCTCCTCGATAGCTCCATCTATAAAGCTTCTCCAGCCTAACGCCCAGTCTGAGTTTGCAAACAGCACATTTCCGTGCCTCTGCCTCATATCATCGAGATGATTGGCGATCAGGCCAGGTGGCGGGAAAAACCAAGCGCCTTTTGCGAACTCGTCCTTTGACCAGTTGTGGAACACTAGCCTCTTTATGTGAGGCTCCGTCTTTTGTTGCGCGAACATGTTGGTTACAGCACGCTTAGTGGCATCGATGTTGACTTCGGGATCGATGTGCTTGTTGCTACCGCCGAAGCAGACGACATGCGTATTACCTGCGGGTGTCGTGCCGTCACCAATCGCGTACATGAGTTCGTTGTGCGGGTACGTGACACCTGTCCACGACCGAAGTTCTTTGTTCGAAATTTCGGCATGCACCTTGACACATTGATTGACGTGACCTGTCGCAATCGCTGCCTTCTTGCCAGCACTGAGTGGTGGATCGAATGTGACCTCTCCCAAGACGTTCAGCGGCATAGCTGAGATGAGCCGTGCAGCGGAGTAGCGGCGTCCATCACGTGTTGTCACTTCGACTGTGCGGCCTGTGTCTTTGACGTGTTTGACGGGGCTGTTGAAAGCGTATGCTAGGCGTTTTGTTGCAAGCGCTTCCTGGAAGAATCTGATGGCGAAACTCGACTGGCCGTTCTTGAACTTCCAACTGATGAGCATGTCTATGCAGCCCGCGTAGGTATAGCCGCACATGGCCCACCTGGAAGTCGTCAGTGCATGCAAACACTTGATTATACTGAAAGACTTGCCAGTGCATGAACTCGTGGAAGCTCATGGTAGTAAGTGTGGCACCACTGCAGAGTAGAACAAACGACTCGAGTGCTGCGCGCTCTTGTGGGGAGAGCTCTGATTCAATCTTGTTAATACGATCTTGAGCGGACAGCTTGTCGAGGTCCTTTGCAGCCGGGATGTGGAACGTGTCGTACGGAAGAGGAATAATGTTCCTTCCGTAAGCTCCGTCGATGTTTGTGAACTTATTCAGAGCCGAAATAAGGAGCTCATCCTCCTTGTCGTGGGTCATTGTGTATCCCTGCTGTCCAATGTTCAGTTCGTAGTGATTCACGCCATGCGAGAAGTCAAAGGACCTCTCAACATCGTTCATCATTTGGTATCTCAACATCTCGCGCCATGTGTTGGACTGTCCCCAATGCACCCATGTGCCGCCCATCTCGAATGGGTAGCCGTCGATGTTGGACGACCATGATCGACCACCAACGCGGTCACGACCCTCGAGCAAGAGCACCTTCAAGCCCTCAGCCGAAGCATTACGCGCAGCTGTGAGACCGCAATACCCAGCGCCGACAACGATAACATCGTAAACGACCTCAGAAGTTGAAACATTGGTGGGTGGGTTGATAGCTCCAAGAGTTGGCAGGCCTGCTGTAAGACCGGATGCAGGAGTCCATGTGTAGCCGTCGCGAGAAGTCATGTCTAGAGTGGAAATGGCTCAGCTGCAGCAAAGATGGCGGTCAAACTTGAACAAGGTGCGGTGACGGCACCACAACAGCGGCCGAGGGCCATCAGTCTTAAACGGCGCACGATTCCAGGGCCCATTTGCTATCGGTTGTAAGCAGAAAAGATCGCATAGTTCAAGTGCAGAACACAGGTTGGCGGCATCCATCTGAGAAAGCTACGGCCAAGACCTCTAGCGTAGCACTAGTATCGCATTAGCGCCATGGAGGTGGCAAGAGCACGAAGCGGGGCTTCCTGATTAGGATGTTAAAGTGAGAAACCGCCCACAAGCATATCAACGACTCATGGCCGCGATCAGCCGTATCGTATTCCTTTTCAGTTTCATAACTTGACGCGCTTTGATAGTGCTACCCTGGTTCTTGATAAACGAGACCGGTCTCGGGATACCTTGTCGACGCGGCACAGATCGTGTGTAAATCGACATGTGCTAGTACAATTTGCTTACTAGTGTGGTTGACGTGAAGAAAATCTACACAGCTGTTTTTTTCTAAGAAGCTGGTAAAAGAGGCTAGAGAAGTGCGTAAATTGGCCAAAATGGCGCGGCAGAAGGTGAATAAAGCAAGGGCTGCTGAACTAGCTGCCGCGCGCGCTAAAAAAGAACAACAACGCGCTACTATAACTATAAGAAAATAATCCGGCGATCCGTAAAATACAGTTACGCAGAAAGTCCCTGTTTCTAATAAGTCAAGAATATCAGAGCATGGTGGTATTACCGGCCGCCAAAGTAATGGTATAACTACACCGCCGCCCGCCCAGCCTACCACCAAAACCACCATGCACGGCCGCAATATATAACTACCTAAGAAATTTAAGTGAGTAGCAATATAAAATACTCTTATAATACTGCTCTGCTTTAAAAAAAATTGCCCGATCTTATCTTTTTAATAAGGCTCTGTAGCCTTTATTTTAGTGGGCACCCAAATTTGGTGGGGTGTTGCAACAAGTGAACTATTGCAAGCTTTGACCACTTAACGTGGTTCACAAGCGAATCGCTCACCCAAGCGAATCGCTCGCGCCCCACCAGCGCGACAACTTCAACACATTATCACAGACTTTTATTACA